CAGCATGAAGACTGTCCCTGCAGGGACAAAATGCACATCATTATCACGAGTTCAGAGCAGAGCTGATATTCTGCAAATTCAGCCCACGCTGTGATTCTGAGGGGTCAACGACAGAATGGCACAGCGTGGATTGTGGCGCATTTAGAAGATCGCACAATTGGCTTTTCGTTACGCTAGGCTTGTAACAGAGCATCTACAGGATAGTGGTGGGCAACACAGATAAAATATTACATCACAATATTATAAGGCATTTTTGCAGTACAGAGTTCATATCATGATGTTACATACATTTCTATGGGCTGGCTAACTTGGAACAGATATAATGCTTGATTAAAACAGTAGCATGTCAGATTTTAGTTTCTAAAAATAAAAACAGAATAAAAATTTAAAACTAAGAAATATATACACCGATCAGGCATAACATTATGACCACCTCCTTGTTTCTACGCTCATTGTCCATTTTAACAGCTCCACTTACTATATAGGTGCACTTTGTAGTTCTACAGTTACAGACTGTAGTCCATCTGTTTATCTGCATACTTTGTTAGCCCCCTATTACCCTGTTCCTCAGTGGTCAGGACCCCCATGGACCCTCATAGAGCAGGTACTTTGTGGGTGGTGGATCATTCTCAGCACTGCAGTAACACTGACGTGGTGGTGGTGTGTTAGTGTGTGTTGTGACACTGTGTCCACTCACTGCCACTCTACTGGACACTCCTACCTTGTCAGTCCACCTTGCAGATGTAAAGTCAGAGACAATAGCTCATCTGCTGCTGCACAGTTTGTGTTGGTCATCCTCTAATCCTTCATCAGTGGTCACAGGATGCTGCCCACAGGACGCTGTTGACGGTTGGTGGACTAATCTCAGTCCAGCAGTGACACTGAGGTGTTTGAAAACTCCAGCAGCACTGCTGTGTCACCAACACACCACCACCACGTCAGTGTTACTGCAGTGCTGAGAATGATCCACCACCCAAATAGTACCTACTCTGTGAGGGTCCATGGGGGTCCTGACCACTGAAGAACAGGGTAAAAGGGGGCTAAAGAGTATGCAGAGAAACAGATGGACTACAGTCTGTAACTGTAGAACTACAAAGTGCACCTATATAGTAAGTGGAGCTGATAAAATGGACAATGATCGTAGAAACAAGGAGGTGGTCATAATGTTGTGCCTGATCGGTGTATAGGAAACATTTTTATTGTGCAAAATAGTAGAAAAAGCAGAATTTCGCTGGGTCTAGTAAAACCAGTGCTAAAAAATCATGTCTGAATTTCTGAACTCTTTTGTCTCATATTTTCAGTCCATACACTCTGCTTACATCTACAGTTGTCAGGGGCTGCTGGCATTTGCTTAGTCTTTGGTAAGTGCTTCTCGATATCAGCAGCAGATGAGAAGCCGGTGATGGTGAGCAGTTAGATCCCATTGTTTTGAACTAAACGCGTCCCAAAATCCCACTGATCAGTGTGTAACATTCAGTGTGTAACATTAAGCATTGTCACTACTGAGAGACATATCTTCTGCAATTAAGTAAATATATATATTTTTTTGCATTTTAATGAACAATATTAATATTTTATGTGTGCACATCTGTTCAAATCACATCTGTGCTAGTCATGTCATGTCATGTACTGGTTAGAGTTTGAGTTCTGCTCAAAATTAGCTAAAATTGTCACAACCGAAACATTTGATTATGTTCTGAAGCCATGATTACTGCATGTGTAGTGACAAAACGGACAGATTAATCATTTACATCAATAAAATAAACAAAATTAAGGTCCACAGTCACTCAAAACATAAGGATTTTAGTCTAAAGTCAATTCGGTAGAATGAACCGTGTAGTCTGAGAGCTGTGAATGACCTGAATTGTACTTTATTCTCTCCAAATGCTGCTGTAGTTTTATGAGGAGAGGTTCACTGCCAGACTGTGTGAGTAAGGTAGTATGAAAGGGTGAGTTAGTGAAGCAAATGAAACAATGAGGGCTGGAGAACTTGTGAAAGAGAAAGTGCGCTGCTTGAGGAGGTGAGGTGCAGTCTAGTGCAGTGGCGTGCCATAATATGCCTTGACCACTCACTTGCCCAGGTAGTCCCACATTAGCCCCCCAATTTGTTGTGGCACAGGGTCTGTCACCTGCTGAGGCGCGGAGCGCAATGAAGCCACTGGCGATGGCTGTCTGTCAGTGGAGTCACACATACACGCATACGTATAGATATGATGGCCGATGGTTGCACAGAGCAGAAATAAAATGACAGACAGTACGGTTGACGGAGGATGCAAAATGATTTCAAGAGAAAACCAAAAAAAGAGATGAAACAATTATACAACATTCACGCAGAAGCAAAACCCACAACACACAAAGCAAGGAGAGTACAATAGTTAATACTTTGGTAAAAGACAGTAGGGAAAAGATACAGATAACCATGTGGACTTCACAGACACACATTCGTTAAACGTATCGCTGCTGTCGGATCAAAACCTCTGATCTCCAAAATGATAACTTTACAGGAGAAAGAAAAAACATACTTTTAATGTTAATGTAAGTCAATGGAACCAGACATTTTTCCAAGTCTGTTCATCTTGAAATCTACACACAATATAAAGGACAGTAGGTATTTTCAAATTATGTCAAAAACTGAAAAAAAGGTTTTGATCAGACAGCAGCGACATACAGCAACATACTGACTAACTGACTGATATGTAGGGCAGAGCAGGTCACAATCTAACCCATTTTGGTTTCTGTTACATATTTTTAAAGGTATTTGAGAAATATCATTTTTATGTTCAATTTATGTTCACATTTCTCAGCTACAAACAGAAACAAAAATGTTTCAAGGACCTACTATTTAAGAGCAATTCAGTTAACAGCAGCAAACATTATACTAATAACCCCAAAAAAGCCCCTTAGGCAGATTTAATCATAACAGACTGAAAGGCTCGTTGTAACAGTCACAAAAAAGTCTGATAAATTAATGCAAACTCAATTCAATACAATTCTATGTGGTTTGAACCAGATGACTTTTCTAACCTATACCGAGAAAAATGCTAATATATATTATCAGTGAAAAGAGGCTGCGTCAAACGTGGCAAATTTTGACCACAAAGTAGAAAAGAGGACACATTTTATTGACACGACATCTATCAGCATGTTTTTATGAATCTGTGCATACAATTAAAAAACAAACTGACTGCTGAATTTATAGGGGAGGATGTGGATTTCTCTCATCATTTATTTTAGGAGGCTTGGTTGTAACACTATTAAAACTGACCTCGCTGTGTGGAGGCTGTACTTTAGCCTGGCTAGCTCTCACTGCTTCAAAACAACGCCGCATCACAGCCACCAAGACGGTGATTAAAACAATGGAGGAGTGAATTCTGTGACTCATACACACTTTTATGGTCTTCAAGGTGAATCTCAAGAAATATCTGTCTGACTGTTGTCAGTATTCACAGATGACACTGCTATGGGAAAATGAGAACGTGACTAAAAGCACACTCTTCTTTAATCTGTTTGACAACATAAAATATCAATGACACATTAGTAGGGTTAGTTTGTGCCCCGCTCCCACATACAACACTTTCTCTCATGGGTAAAAACGCCAAGTACTGTATTTGAGGTTTCTGAAGCCTCTGTGGAGCTCTGCTGTAGGTTTGAGAGAATCAGTGATGGGCTGAAGTCTGTTTAGTAGATGTAATACAGAATAGCTTCAAGGAAACTCTCCAACTGACACACTGCAGGAGTGAATAGGTGTATATTTACGAGAGAAATGTAAGTACACTTCTATATGTACGGGAAATGTGAGTATGCATCTATATTGCTACTGTTGGAACAAAACCTCAATCTCCAAAATGATAACTTTACAGGAGCAGGGAAAAACATATCTAACTTTTAATGTAAGTCAATGGAACTAGACTTTTTTCCCAAGTCTTTTGGGGCCGTTTTTTTTTTGGTCCATTCATCATGAAATTTACACACAGTGTAAAGAGCAACAGGTATTTTCAGATTATGTCAAAAACTGAAAAACGACAAAAATGGAGATACGAGGTTTTGTTCCAACAGCAGTATGATGTACCGATATCAATTTCTAAAGTAGTCTTGGGACACTCAATTTGTATCTTGTTTATTTATTACTTTCCAGCTGAAGTTGTTATTTATTGTCATTTATTCACTCGGATCCATCAGAAAAGATAGTGATAACGATCAGGTTTATTAACTGAAGCCGAAAATGATCCCAGTAAATCACTGAAAACATAAGTAAGGCAAGTAAAAGTAGCATTAGACAGACAAACATTAGTGTCTCTTTTCATTTTTAATAGATTAGAATTCCCGGGTTTTATTGAGGTAAGTAGTTTGTTGCATATTCTTTCTTTTGAATGATGGATCAAGTCTTCCAAGCATGGAGGGCATGAGTTTGCGCAACTAATGGACTTTGGCTCTTTCCGCCACATAATTATGTTTTTTCACACTTGCTCACATATACATACATATACATACATATATATATATATATATATATATATATATATATATATATATATATATAGGTAGTTGCGCAAACTCATGCCCTCCATGCTTGGAAGACTATATATATATATATATATATATATATATTATTTGAATCGGTATTCAAGTTTTCTGCAGTAATATCTTTCAGAAAGTTAATCAAGTTAATAAAGTCAGGTATGTTGAATGGTGGCTTTCCAAGAGCAGGACTGGATCTCTGGTTTGAACACAACATTTGGATTGCATTTGTGCATTTGGATCAGTATCCCAACATTTGTTTTGAAGTATGTGAAAGTCTTCTAGTTTGCTAATGTTCAGCTTGACCTAAAGTACAGACTGATGAGATATAGCTGGAATGATGTACCTTTGAATGTGATAAAGCTCTTTTCCCTCAACATATTAACAAACAAATAATTATTAAAAAAATAATTCTGATAGAGGCGTCCCGACTACTTTTGAGCACTGTACATGCACTAAACATGCTGCGTGGAAGCGCGTACCTCTCCAGCTCACTGATCTTGCGGTCCTTGTCGTTTTTCTCATTCTCCATCTCTCGGAGGATCTCCAGCAGACGGTCCACTTCGGCCTGAGCCTTCCCAGCATCCTCTTTGTGGCGTGCTACCTCCTGCTCCAGTGTGCTGATGCGCTCTGACAGCTCTGTGTTCGCCTGAGCCTCTACAGCTGCTGTCTGAGCCTAAACATAAAAAACATGGTTCAGAGATTAACAACACAGGCACTATCATGTTATGACATTCTCTGCTTTTTAACCCAAGTGCAGTAATGGAAGCAATCTGGGATAATAAAGCTGCTCGGGATCATCATCCAACAGTGTGGTCTCTTATAAAAAAAATGTCACGAATGAAAATGATCTTCAAAGCTGAAAGCAATTCGCGGGTGCCTGCTGCTCCTCAGTGCCTTTTACATCAGGTTCCGAAGGCCGAGTCAATGAGTAGCTGGCTGGCATTTGTGCCCGAGAGTGGCCTGGGCAGCGTCATAGATGGGCGATGTGAGGGTGGAGGCGCCAAACGCCCACTTGCACCTGCAGCCTCTGTGTCACCTCGCCCATGACATCACAACCGGCCAACTGTATTTAGAAAAGGTATGCGCGCAGTGGAAACCCAATTACACTCATGTCGTCAAATTAATTAAGAGTTCCTTCAGCAATTACAGTCAGATACAAAAATAAAGCACTCTAATAAAAGCTGCAGTGTCCTTAGCCCATTAATATAGCTGCACTTACAAACCCAAACACTGTACAAGCCAAGCATCACCTCTAATACACTACACAGACTGTGTGGCTATCATCAAGATCATTTGGCTCATGCAGGACATGACAATTCAGTAACAGCACACAAAGACTGCACATTATGGTGCTGCATAGCAGGGCACAGCTAAAGCAGGCGCAGCACATAGCAGAGCACACAGCAATTCGGCTCGAACGGCATTGCACAAGAGTGTCTGGGCTCCGGGTGGCCGCTGCAGGCCTCTGCTTCTTCGGGCTGGCACGGCGTGAAAGGGGCCTGTTCTGTTTTATTGGGGGATATTATTTGAAGGTGACGTTTAGGCCCCTCTAATTTGCTTTTTTAATGTCTCGGCCTGAGGTTGAGGAGGTTTCCACACCGACCGCCAAGAGCACGTCGTCTGCGGGGGAGGACTTTGAGACAAGCCAGCATGTGTGTATGTGCGAGTGTCTATGTGTTTGCGTCTGCGCAGCCTGGAACAGGAATGATAAATCTGACACGAAAATGTATTAACTATCCATAACCGTGGAGCTATCATCAAGATGATTTGGCTTCCTGTGTACACAGAGACTGGAAGGGCCATCAGTTACGGGCAGGACAAAACAAAATAGCGTCAAGCACACATGCGAAACACACGTACACTCACACGCATACATGTTTGAATCGTAGATGTATATATCTAGATCGCCAACAGAGGGAGCACTACTGAAGCCACTGCTCCAGTTGTACATACCCCCTAGAATTAAGTGTTCCCCATAGACTTGCATTGATTTTCAGATTTTTTTTTTCTTTAAAAGGGACCGTTAAGACTCGTACGCATTAAAATAGTCTACAATAAAATTTTGATGTATAAAAAATGGAAATGTTTTGTATATTTTAAAAAACATGACAAATAGGCAAAATCCTTCTACTAGTGGGTTGCAACTATCATTGTGCTGGACTTCCCAACAGAAAATAAGACAATCAAAAAGTTTCTCTCTTAGGTAATGTCACTCTCTGGCTAAAGTTGGTGGGGCTGAATGATTTATTTGCATTAAACTAGATATTTAGCACACTGTTCCTCACTCAGTGGACAATAATTGAAGCTGCAACAAAAACAGCAGCCTATCAGTAGAGATTCTGTCTATTTTTACAAATAAAAAAAATATTTTGCTTGTTTTATTCAACATATTTTAATAGTACTGGACACGTACACCACATTGGGGTGTATATGTCTTCACTGTCAGCCTTCTCTTCATGATATCTATCAGAATCGAATGTATTTTTGTTTTCTGTAGATCACATCATTCATAACAGAAGGCATTTTTTTTTTTAAAAATTGTTTCATCAACAAAATGTTAATCAAAAAAGTAAAATTGGGCCAACAGAAAGGACAGAAAGACAATTAGGAGATTTAGTTTATTTTAGAGAGTTAGTTTATTTTACTTCACGTAACTTCATATAAAAGTTAGTTTAATTTTATTGTAATTGCTCTTGTGAAGAACTCAGGAAGACTAGTAACCACTTTGTGGAAGCTAATGGGGATCCAAATAAAGAATAAAGAAAATGAGAGAGAGACTGGGATAAAGAGGAAGAGAGTCTGACGAGGAAGGAAACTGCTTTCATAACTCTGGTTATTAGCAGGGCTGTTAGAGCAGCTGTGTTTGCTCTTGGGTCCAATGGAAGCTGTTGGTGTTGGAACACTAGTAGGGTCCAAGCACACAGCCCCATAAATAAGGGAAACACACAGTTTTGCTGATAGGAAACAAGTTACGTCCGTGAGGTCATGGATGAAATACAAAGGGTGTACAAAATAACAGAAACATCACATGAAAAACTCACCAATTTTATCTTGCCATATAGGTGCGCTTTGTAAGTTTACATTTACTGACTGTAGCCCACCTGTTTATGGATAATGTAATCAGCCCCCCCTCTACAGCATCTAACAATGGAGAAGGACCACCATAGAACTACCACTGACCATACAGTGGTACTATGGTCAGTTGTCTACGCTCAGTAACTGTAGACCTACAAAGTACACTTATATGGTACATGTACCAGATAAAATGGTCAATGAGTAAAAGTGTTTCATGGGATGTTTTGGTTATTTTATTGAGTCAGGCTGCACTGCTGTAACAGAAGTGAGCGGGTGGTAACTGTCAGCTTAACAGTCTTTACAAAGACAGGCAAACAAGCACAAAACCCACTCACTTTTGGTGCTTTATTGGTGAAATTTTCTGCAATGCTGACAAATCTGTGGGGCCTCTATATTGGCTTTCATGCTTGTATGCCCATCTTAGTAATGCTTGTTAAGCTGACAGTTACCAACTGCTCACTTCACAGAATATGAATTGATAAATTTGAACCAAAAAAAAAAAATCCAGAAACCATCATGGTTAAAATAAAACATGCAAAATCCAAACTTCTGGTCTGGCTGTAAGTTACAGGACTGTTAACTCTCTCTCTCACAGTTAGACTGTAACCTCTCTCTCTCTCTCTCTCTCTCTCTCTCTCTCTCTCTCTATCTATAAATACATATATACATATAGATAGATAAATGCGCACAGGCAATAGCTACAGCATCCCTATGTATTTTTGTGTATGAGGTGCTAGGCAGAGAAGCAGTGGGGACACTTGACCGGGTGGGTCATTCAGGGTAAAGTGCTGGGTGTCTGGTGTGCCTGTCTACTTCTATTTATTGAACAGCTCCATGGTCCTCCAGTGCGCTGTGTGTTTTAAGCGCCAGGCAGACACCTCGCTACACGAACACGCCTTCCGCTCACAGAGGACCGGCCAGGACCCCGGTCGCCGTTCTGTCTCGTCCAATCACAGCAGACGCCCACTGTGCTGTCAGCGAGTTATCACTTACACGCTTTTTATATGAGACCCTGCGTGAACAGACAACGCACATGGCCAACACTTTCATTGCTCTTGGAGCAAAGGATGGCGTCTGGATATACAGACAAAGCTGTGAAAGGAGAACTTAGGGTAGATCAGAGGGACTGCGATACACAATACACCACTGTGCACAGCTGAATTTCCCATGGATTAACGTTTCTTCCAGTGCTGAGGAGTCAGAAAGCTGCAATTACACACTCACCTTTTGACATTTGAGGCTCATAACTACCACATATACATGAGTGCTTGTGCAGATTTGTGCAGATAATCGTATACTGTACAAGTCTACATACACAGAGTTGCCATTTCTTAGGTTCATCTTCTTTGAAGCAACACTGACTGGCCATTTTATCAGGGACACATACCATATAGGGGCAATTTGTAAGTTTATAATTCGCTGCTGTTGGAAGAAAACCTCATATCTCCATTTTTTTCAGATTTTTACATAATTTGAAAATGCCTGTTGCCTTTTTCATTGTGTGTAAGCTTCACAAACAATGGACCTAAAGAAACGGCCCAAAATGACTTGGGAAAACATCTGGTTCCATTGACTTACATTAAAAGTAAAGTAGGTTTTTTCCTTTTCCTATAAAGTTACCATTCTGGAGATACAAGCTTTTCTTCTGATAACAGCGAATTACTGTAGGCCATCTATTGCGGCATAATTTGACACCCCCTCTACCCCATCGATCAATAGCAAGAGATCACCATAGGATCACCAATATGACCCAGGATTTGTCAAAACCCGTATCAATAAATCACACAATGCCTTTAATATAAGTGCACAGTCACTGCCATATAATTTTGAGGTCAAATAGTCAATTGAAAGATTAGATTCATTATTAATAATTATTAAGAATGCATGAGTGAATAACAAAGAGAACACCGAAGCGGTCAGCTTTATTTTCCGGAATATAGAACAGCTGTTCTCGAAATAAAGGAGATAAGGTGTCTCCCATTAGTTCTGTGTCATGTTATCAGCTGTTCACAGGTACTTAGCTTGCTGACTCAACCATATCAGTTGCAAAAAATGAGTGAACTATACCACCAGGGTCCAAAATTAACAACCGCCAAGCACCAAACTCATGCAGGTTTTCTGGCTAGCATTAAGTTTTAAACAAGCATTAAGATTTGATATATTGTAACTGGGTTTTTCCAATGTTCCAGGTGCTGTTTGATTGCTGATTTAAAAAAAAAAAAGTATAGAAGATGATATAAAATCTGTATTGGACTGAAAGTTGCAAGAGTTCACTTAATATCTGTAAAATGATCGTTAAAAACACCAACAAGCCAGCTGTCCATTTCAATATTAATGCAGGAATGTTTTAATTTTCTCTGCGAGTAGCCCACAACACATTTCTTACTAATGCTGTATGCTGTAGTTGAACAGTGATACAGTTATACAGTCATTCAGTTAGGGTCTGAATTTACAGGGGGAATTCCATCAATTTTTCAAAGTATCTGCATAATTTAGTCATTAAGATGAAAACAGTCAATCAAAATGGTTTAATGTGAAATGGTGCACTGTAGAGAAACTTACTGACTTGTGATGTCTACAACTCAAATACAGCCATTTTATTTAATATCCCAAATGACTAGTGAATCTACACGTCTTCAGAGTTTTTACGTGTAATGTTGATAATGGTAAAATAGCGGTAAATCTCTGCCGTGAATGGCTCTTAAAAAATAAATTTCAAGCCAAAGTCTTCTCTTCACTAGGCCGCACGTTTGTAACAATTTCATGTAATAACTTCCTATGAGGGAGGTTTTCGAGGCATTATGAGGCATTATGCTTTGGACGTCTGGTTCCTATCAGCACCACTGTGAACAATTCTGATTCAGTAAGTTTCTCTAGAACAGATCAATTCACATCAAACCAATATAATAAATTTGTTCACATCCTAATTCGTGGAATTCCCCTTTAAAACCTGGCTGAATATGGTAGCACTATTTAACGACTGACATTATTGTTGTTCACAGCGATTAGCCAATAATGTGTTGAACACCAGATGAGATGTTTTTAAATTGGCAATTCAAACAGTCTTGTGAAAACATTTGATTGCCCCAGTTACTGAAATCCACTCACTATAACTTAATAAAACTAACTATAACTGAGTGGAAGCATTTCAGCGTAATTTATTCATTTAGTTAGGTTTATGTTGAGATGTTCACAGAATAGAGACAATGTCAATTATGTAGCGGGTAGCGGAAATATTACACACTTAAAAATTATGGTTCTTCAAGGGTTTTTAGTAAGGAAAATGGTTCTATATAGAGCCATGAACATTTAATGAACCTTTTGTGTGATTAAAGGGTTCTTTGCATCATGAAAGAGTTCTTCAGATTGATGGAGAACATGTTGTAGGTGTTTCTATACAGAATCTTTTTTAAAAGGGTTCTATATAGCACCAAAAAGGGTTCTTCTATTGTTACGATGTCAGGGTTGTTACAATAACAGAACCCTTTCTGGTGCTATTTAAAAACCTTTTCAAAAAGGCTCCACATAGAAACATCTACAGCATGTTCTCCGTCAATCTAAAGAACCATTTCACTATGTAAAGAACCATTTAATCACGCAAAGCGTTCTTAAGACTGATGGAGAATGTGCTGTAGGTGTTTCTATATGGAATCTTTTCGAAAAAGGGTTCTACATAGCACCAAAAAGGGTTCTGCTATTGTAACACGTCAACAGAAGAACCCTTTCAAAAAAGGTTTTACACAGAACCATCTACAACACATTCTCCATCAATCTGAAGAACCATTTCACTATGCAAAAAACACTTTAGTCATACAAAGGGTTCTTTAAGTGTTGATAACTCTACATAGAATCATTGAAGAACCATTATTTTTAGGTGTGTAGATGAGGGTGGAGAAAAAGCAAGCCGTCTAATTGCTGTGGTTAATAATGTAATAGCTACATCAGGTCAAACGTTGATCTACATAAAATACCTGGTGCTTCTGATTAAAAGGACCAACCAGCCTACCACCTTCTGGTAGGCTGGTTACACCTCTGATAAAATGACCAATAAGTGTAGATATAAGGCAACTCAGTGCAGTGTATATGTAAAATTGCAGCCATTCTAATATTAACATGGTGGCCTATGCGCAGTAGGGGCTGGAAACCACACGGCATAGTTGAGCAGGGCAGTTAAAACAGATGCACAGATATGAGGCCACATCACAGCACACTGCAAAATATGTAAAAACGCAGAGACATTAAACCCACTTACAACAGCGGATCACTCGGAGCCTTTAGATAAGGAAAGAGCTCATGCATGCAGGCCTCAAACACCCTGAAGATCTTCAATCTCGCTCACTTTCTCTCTCTCTTTCACACACAAAACAAACTTCACATAAGCCTCAAGCTCATGCAAGCAAAGCCCCACAACTCACACGTTCATAAGATTCCTTTGCAGCCACACGCACAGAGCTAAGGGAGGATTTCCACACCGGGATGCACTTACAAGATTGGAGGGATGGCCTGACATGTGCTCAGTGTGCTTTAGGAAAGAAAGAAGGGTCGGGGGAAGGAGTTGGAGGGAAAGGGGTCCAGAAAGTGATGATCAAAGGAAATTAAGTTAACATTATATAGGATGTAATAAAGGAAAAAAAGAGGACAGGAGGTGGACAAGAGAGAACAGACACAGAGCAAAATGACATGAGGTGTGAGCATGAGAAAGAAAGAGAAACAGGGAGACTGAACACAGAGACGATAATGGCATTTGAAAGAGCACACGTTGACATCACAGCGTTTCAACTGTGTCACCTCAGATGCAGAAGGGGGTGGAATGCACCTCTAAAGGAGTGATGGGTATGGAGAATGACGGCACACTGCTAGAATATGAGACACGTTGCAGCAGAAACACAGCATGGCAACTGTCAACACCTGCCTGCGATCTCCTCATCAGCAGTAAGGTTATTTGCTACTCGGGTGAGCTAATCAGTTCAGATGTCTGATCTCTCCCTCTCACCTTCTTGAGCTGATTCTCCAGCTTGATGCACTCCTCTTTCTTCTGCTCAAGAGCAATCTCAAGAGTCTTGAGCTTGGAGTCCTTCTTCAAACCAGAGGAGGCCAGAGATGAGGCGTGCTCCTTCAGATCCAACAGAGTCGTCTGGGGGGGGGGGAAAGGAAAACGGAACAAGACTTAATTAACCATTTATAACACAATGTCATCGCACAGTTTAAAAGAAAAGTAACATTTTTGTGGCTTTTTCTGAAATAAAAGAGTTTGATGTAGTACGTATTCAGTCCATGTAGTCCATACATAGAAATTACACCGCAAAAACAGCTCGTTTTGAATTCACTGTCACAAAAAACAGCGCACTTAAAACAAGCTGTAGAATTTTTTGGTAACACTTTATTTGGATTGCCCACTTTAGATGCTTTTTAGATACTTAATTAAATTTTCATTCAAGGTACATTCGACTAAATTTCTACTTAAATGACCATAATTTTCTTTAACTCTAACCCTGGCCCTAACCTTAATCTCAACCCAAAACCTAAATTCCAGCCCTAACCCTGGTCCAAATCCTAACCCTAACCCCACTCCTTAGAATCAACTGAGGTCAACAGATAGTTAGTAATCAATTTGAACATCTGTAGATAATCTATAGGTATATATAGGACTATAGTGTAGATATAGTATAGTATAATTATAGCTAGAGTTTCACACTGCACCATTTTCGCCGCTGTCCATTTTGCCCATAAATGGAAATCAAGCAGTAATAACAGCTCATTTTAAACTAACTGCTTTTGCAATGTCACAAAAAACAACGCATTTAAATACATCCACCTTTCAGTCTACAGCAGTTTCAGCCCGCCTACTCACATTGTAGTTATAAGGAGCGTTTCGTATGGACTCCTTTTTGAATGAAGTATGTTTACATATAGCAGTCTTAAAGGCACAGTAACAAAAACAGCCTGTTTTGGTCTCTGGGATAAAGAGAGGTTGGAAAATGGTCATGTAAAAATAAATCATGACTGTTTTTGGTGCATAAAACCACACAAACGTCATAAGTGGGACCTCAGGGGGAAAAATACACAAGGAAAATGCAGGATATGGGTCGTTTAAAGTAATAGCTTGTTGAAAAATCTAATTAACACAAAGCCGGACAAAAGTACAAGCAATATTTTGGTTTCAAGATATGTGCTATAACTGTTTTAGCCATGCATCACACTGTTATATATAAGAATCGCCAAAAGCATGTCTTACAGTGTCAGAAACAACATAAGCAAACATATTTGAAAGGTTACCTAAACAACTTGTGGTAGCTGAGGCAAGTGTGTAATGATTTAGGAATGCAGCTTGCACAATGCTAATTGGAGAGTTATAAGCTTCCATTACTTTAGCCTCATAGGCTCCAGTGCAAAACTAACGAAGCAAACTCCGGACACAAAACATGTCTTGGCTGATTGGCTGTGTTTGGAAAAAGGGGAAAATTGTGTAAATTAGATTTTTTTTTTTTTCTCAGTGTAGTACTCCCTTAATATGCATGGCGCTGACCAAGAGCGCTGACTCCTAACGCGGAGGAGCACAAGGCCAGAGATGCTAATCAAAACCAGTTGATTAGCTGAGAGACTGCGCTAACGTCATGCTGCAAATCCTCATTACAAAGAAACAAACTAAGCCCAAACATATGCAAACATGAAGCCTAAAACCTCAGCCAGCTGCCTTACTTTGATTTCAGTCGTACCACAAACACCATGACATGTAGGCCCACTGCGCAAAAGCAGAGTAAAATATATTGGTCAGCAACTGGATAAAGTGGATATGATATGCTCACCCAAAGCCCTCTAAGTGAGTAATAACCTCAGTGTAAATCACACAACCATAAATACAGCGCTGACTGCACGGTCTGTACTGTACATATGCAGCGCATCGCTTCTCCATTCGCTAAGCTGTGTTTCAGATTCAGAAAGCTACAGCCTTCCATCCGTGAAGCCTTTCCTGCTGTTTCCGTTTTCAGCCAGAGAGCCCCACAATTTCACACTCCACTGCCATCCGCGGACCAAAATACATGCCTAATGTTCGGACGGCCGCGGCGCATTCCCGAGGTCCTCCGCTGGCGTTGGTAAAGAAAACAGGAGCGGGGGAATGAAGCGTGTGCCACGTGACTGCACAGAGTGAGGCTGAGGGAACTTGTCAGAGAGGTCACTGTTCATACATGCACGCTACACAGGACAAAACTGATCAGAGTTCATGCCAAAGCAGGGTATGAGAGAGGGAGGGCTACACAATATGCAATGGGGACCAAAAAAAACTGACCTGGAATCATCACAACACTTATAGAAACACATCTAGGATGCCTGTGATTGGTCAGGAAGCTCAAAGCACACAATGAAGGAAACTGATTTGTTAAAGGCTTATTTATAGATAGATAGATAGACCAATAGACCGATAGAACGATAGACAGATAGACATAGATAGATATTTGATTGATCCCGAAGGAAATTTAGCAAATTATTTTTTATTTATTATATAAATCATTATATGCAAAAAAGCCAATATTATGAAAATGGTGAACACATTTAGTATTATGCAGCCAAGGCATGCAAATTTTGGCACATACTTTTGAGCAATAACCAACCACCATTATGTCAGTAGTATCCAAGTGCAGATCCGCAGTACCGCACTTTCAGACCCCCACTATCAGCTCCTTACAAGGTTTTTTTTAGCACCAAAGTGAGTACAGTAGGTAGTAATGCTGCTTTCAAGCGCAAGTGAGGCAACAGTTTTGTACAAGGAGGAGCTTATACAATTGTGTTTTTTTGTGAGAGATAAAAAAAAAACACTGAGGTTGTGAAATGGGTGTTTATTAGCTTGCTGGTATATATCAGTATTTGGCCTATTTTACTGGTGACTTGGATGGATGGATGAAGGTTCTCCAAGGTTTCTTTAAGGAAGGAAACGGTTCTATTTAGAACTATGAGTTCTACATAGAACTATTTCATGCTTACATAGTTCTTGGTGAAATGGTTCTTCAGATTGATATCCGAGGGTTTCTTAAACATTACGCAGTAATCGCTCTCTGGTAACAGGCATCTGTATGCACGTTGCTCACGCTCTCCATGTTACAAACGGCAAGCCTCTCGACCTTTACGTGACATCATATCCGGAGTTAAGAGTGAGCGGCTGAGAGCGAACCGTTGAGACGGAGGGCCTGAGAGTGAGTGGCTGAGAGTGAGGGGCTGAGAGCGCAGTACTGCGGCTCTGCAGCTAGACCCTTCTCCATTAGTTGGCCATTAATCATTAACTGGTGAGCCTATAATCAACAACGTGACCCATCAAAATATCAATTATAAAAAGGCAGTTCTGGTTCTGAAATCAAAGCCATTGTAAAAAACTTGTGGGCAATTATGAGCGCACACATCAACTGAATTCTGTATTAATACACCAAGTCTTGTTTGCATGGACATAGCACTGATATGTGGGGTCAGGCATCAGCATGTATAGGAAGTAAACAGCCCAAAACCATATTAAACAAACCCTACGTAAGAATGGAGTCTCTATGATTTAAAGTCATATTTGCTACTCACTACTAGTCCAAGTTAAAACAAACACAAATGCCATGACCAGCGTAGCTTTGGCTTAGTGTACCGCAATAGCTTTCAAAAGGTGTTACTGACCATCACATCATTGTCTGTAATTTAACACACTCATGTGTAATTTCCTCACACCACCTTTCATCAGACTTTCTTTTGAAGAACAAGGACAAAACAGCTGCTTTTGATTTGGTACACTGTTATAGTTGTGATAGCGTCCTTGAAAATGGACCCCAACACACAGGAAGGTGTTTTAAATTGGGGTGCTGAAATTTTTAGCAGCATACACCTGACGGAAACAATGACATCATGCCGAATACTATTGTTTTTTCCTTCATTTGAATTGTTTGGAGTAAGAGACAGGGCACACCTGTACAAAGACAACCAACGCAGCAACCACAGCTGATGCTCACCCTGCTGCCTCTGCTCTCTCACGCTGTACGAACTTTATGCAAATGAGCTGAGCAATGAAGAATCAGATTGTTGAGGCAAGAAACGCTTGTGTCACAAGCCAAAGCCAAGCTACACGCTAGCCGGAGACTATTACAATGGTTCAAAAAACGGATGAGAGTGGGAGATAATAATGTTGGTTGAAAACAAAAAGCTTTCAAACCGGCATTAGGCCGCTTCAGGGCACAGAATGAGCCTAACAGTTGGCGAGGGAAGCGATTCACTCCACTCCAAAATGTAGCTTTAACTAACACTGCATGGGTACTGCAAATTATGCACATGAAATAAAAATATTTTGCATCCAGACTTTAAAAACTATATAAAACTACATACCCCACCCTACAGAAAGCACGAACTATTAAAATATTTTAAACTTATGTTCCTTTGTTATTTTTCTGTTACTGTTTTAGCTACAGAGGCCGAGAAGACCCAACAAACTGCAAATAAACAAAAACGAGCTGCAAACACAGAAAACACTTTCAATAAAATGACAATGTGGGTGCTGCATTTTACAAATGCTCTGCAAATTCGTAGACACTGAACTCAGAAATTCAGAAACGCTGGTAAGCCTGTCACAACACAGCGGAGGTCTTTCTGGAGGACACTCAGAGAGGATGGAGCCATTCAGACTTTTAAATTCTATGCAGCATAAACATTCACAGGCACAAGTCAGTTAACTTTTATTTGAGCAGATTACGACCATGGCTGTATCGTAATGGGGATTAGCTGTAGAGTGTTACTGTAAACGTTCAACTAGTAAGCAGTTCAGCAGAGAACCAACACAGCACAGCTGCGGCATGTCAGATAGCAAACTAGGCGGCCAGGTTAACCCTGAACTCTGGATGTGAGTGTCCGAGTGTCTGTGGTCTTCTCTACTTCTGTCAGTGGTTTTCCATCATAGATATTCCATCCCCTTTGAGTCTTCCAGGAACATTTCTGTTGTGTTGTGACTCATTTCCATTGTGTTGTGACTGGCTTTCTGTTTTCTACATTTGCAGTGCTTTTCTAAAAAGTAGCTCTGATGTGTTCATGCTGATGAAAGTGTTTTCTGTATTTGCAGCATGTTTATGAGTTTGCAAAGTGCTTTTAATTGTACTATGAATCGGGTCTTGTCGGTCACCGTATTTAGCAGCTGCAGTTGAAAAATGCTGAAATCTGGGAGTGCTCAGCACCTCTACTCCCTGTTCCTGCTCTCATCAGTACAGTTTAAAAAACATTCCAGACTATAATAATAAACCCACCTATTCAAACAGGAACAGCTGTTTACTGAAAATGAAATAAAATTAAATTCAGGCTTTTCAGTGGTCTAATAATTATTTGTTAGTTGCTTAATGGTTAAATTGGTTAATCATTTACATCCCTAATGCAGACCTTGTATACAGAAGTAGAAGACACAGACCACACTGCAAAGGAAATAGGACATACTAAGGCTTAAGAAGGTCAGAAGAAGAGAAGGGTGGAGTATGAGCAAAGAAATCGGGTGTGTGGGGGTACAAGACAGAGAGTGAGGGCGCTGATGGAAGGAGAAAGAGACGGATGGAGTGGGGAAGTGGTTTTGGTGTCTTGCTGCCTCTCTTGATGCAGACAGCGGAGAGGAATGTGGAGATCACAGAGTGCAAGAATAACACGAATAATAATCCACTCACAGAAGAAAAGCGCTAAGCATAGCCGTGTGTTTCACTGACCATGTGTGTGAGAACATGTATCTGTGTTCTGACCAAAGGGTTGTTTATTTACAGACTTTAGAAACTGTCTGTCTCTCTTAGGGCAGCGGGGAGGGGTAGACAGGCTGATGAAGAGAGGGACAGAAAGAAAGAGACAGAAAGCACAAGCAAACGAGACAGCAGAGCTGAGGACAGCAAGAGAAATGAGCAGTAGCTTTGTAGGAGGGGGCAGTCCCCTCACACGCAGAATCCTCCATTTATCTTCCTGTCTCTCTCTGTCTCTCGCGCACACACACACAAACACGGCGAGGCCTGACAGTGGTCAGATCCAGCCTGTCTGTTTTCATCACTCCGCTGTTCCTCTGAGGCTGTATGGACGGTTACAGAAGCAGAGCCTGTGTGTGTCAGCAGCAGACTGATGGCACTCTCTCACAGCAGCAGCATTTGCTCTTTATTCCCGATCTGGGACAGTTTCTGCACACTTTAATCACAGCCATTAGAGGAGAAAGCATAAAGTACGCCTTAAAAGTTTGGAATCACCAGTTTCACTCATATAAAACCAATTTTGTGAAATCATTGCATTAGTAAGGCATTAATGCCATAATGATTAATGTCCACATGATTTTCACGTTCAAGTTTAACCGTTTCACTTTTCACATTAGCAGCTTTCGTATTTTCATGTACAATGACACTTTATATAATGCAGACTCACAAAACAAACAAAAAAAGGTGTTTTTAGCAGGTAAAAGTGGCCCAAATCTGATCTTTATCTTCATATGTGACACAGATGTGTGTCTGGGTGGCAGTCTGAGCAGCAAAAATCACACTGACAGCAGAATTTAAGTAACCTTTACGTTAATCCAACTTCACATTAGTTATAATTTCGCGCTGCTGAGACTCGAACATTTTGGGTGATGTTTCTGTCCAAAAAAACATTAGAAGAGACTCCTCAAAACCACTCTGTGTTTGAAGAGATTTTGAAAGAAATGGCCGAACGCGGCCGCAGGAGAACGAGGCTGCAGCGTCAAAGAACAGTTAAAAGCCTGAGAGCGAAGTTTAAAGAATCCGAGGACACGAACCAAAGAAGTGACTGCGCCCTTTTTACAGTGAGCTCAAAGACATTCTGGGTGATGAGCCCAGTTGTCAGTGAATGTAGCTTCATGATGGCTCCTGTGATGCTGGAGAAGATGAAGCTGAACCCTCCGGGAGCGACTGGCAGTCATGATTGTTTACCTCTGGATGAGCCACGTGAAGCAGCGCGAAGCTCTGTTCTTTTGCGCATGTGGGTCAGTTTAGGAGCTGATCTGTTCAGACTAATGTCTCATACAGATCAAATTTTAAAGATTTTGTGAACAGCCGAACAAAAAAAAAAAAAAAAGATTTGGGGAGAAAATCAGTTTTGGGCCACTTTTACCTGCTATGTGAACATAGTCTAGATATATTTTGATAAAGTTATCCAGAGATAAACATTATACTGTAATTAAATATTTATAGAACTTTTTGTCAACTTGTCTGTCTCAACATATGATCGTCAAGCATTATGGATATGGATTTTATTTTAACTTCATGCAGTCATTTTATAATCATTTTATAAATGTTCATTCTGGACACACCTAAAGTTTCTTAATCCTTCTCACCGACTTACTTACTTACTTATTTATTTATTTATTCATCCATCTGAATTATTTAAATTACAACTTGAAGACTAGTATATTAGTATCACTTTTTATGTTTATCTGCCACTATAATGGTTTTATATCATTGAAAATAATGACACCAAACAGTAGTGAACAGAAATTATGATTCTAATTAAAATAAAAAAAAACAAATAAGTTCAAAAATATTTTTTAAGAAAGAAATTTTCGATTTTAGTCCAGAATTAGGAGTAAAATTGTATAAAGCTTTCAACAACGACTGAAAAAGCTTTGACAAGAACAATCAAATCAGAAAAAAATTTACTGTCAGTATACTAATCATCTAATATCCCCCCCCCAAAAAAGTTCCCAAAATATGTTTGATACTAAATGTAATAAGCTCTTTTAGTGTCTAGTTTACAATATTTCAATGTGCGTCATCACTGACTAAAATAAAATTAATATGACAAGTGATTGCAAACTTCTAAACTGGCTTCAGATCTGTCTCTTCTCCATCTCAGTTCTCCCTGCTTACAAATGCTTGTCTGCTTTTTCAGCTACCGGCTTTGCCAGCACAGAGCTGTTTGTCAGTCAGCGGACACGTGCACACACCTGTCACTCAAAGAAACAGGCTGTCGGGGAAGATGAGACACTAACAGGCCTTCACCAAACAGTTTCTGGAAGGTTCAGTCAGCCGCTGTGCCGGAGCTGTGTTTGGTCATAGGATTGTGAGAGACAGTTAAATGTTTAAGCGCTGTCCGACGTGCTTGGCCAGACTGACGTGTGCATGCAATCACTGTGATCCGCGAGTGTGTGAGTGTGTGAGAGTGTGTGCGGCGCGCATCACCTCACGGTCCGACAGGTCTCCCTGCAGCAAGCTGACTTTCTCCTTCAGCTCCTTCAGTTCCTTCTTGTTGTTTTCCAGCTCCTCGCCCTTCTCCCTCTCGTCTCTGTCTCTCTGCTCCTTCAGACGCTCGATAATGCGCTCCTGCACACATAACAAACAAACATCAACAATCAGCCAGTTAACTCACACAGCCAGCCAGAAAAACATGCCCCGGTCAGGGAAAAGTGTGTGCTCTACTGATTTTTACATGAGGTGATGGACTGGACTGGCCGCCAAAGTACAGCACCATTTTTTAACATGTAGTTTTTCTTCTAGCAGTTGACCTACACCCCATGTGTCAAACACAAGGCCCACGGGCCAAATCAGGCCCATGACACAGTCCTTTTCAGCCTGCGAAATTATTTTAATCTTCTATTCTTATTAGCCCGTTTCACTCTGAGATGCACTACAGTCCCCAGCATGCACTGCAACAGAGTGTGCATTCTGACCCTTTCCCCCAACAACAATCTATGGGCCAGCAGTTACACAAAAAGAAAAGATGCCTGGTGTCTAGTTCAAGCACACAGGCAGCTTTAAAAAACTACCTAAAACAATTTATTTTCATTTAGAATTATTTTGTATATTATAAGTATTCAATGCCTGTTTTGCTGTTGCACTTTTGGCATATTTTGAATAAACAATGTCCCGTTTGGGTTACGGCAGAATGTTAAGTAAAAATGAAATAAAAACACAGCTGGCCAACAGGTTTGTTGAGATTTTTTTAATACGGCCCTGTTAGTGGTTGAGTTCGACACCCCTGACCTACACACTCCACCTAAATGCACTCTTCCAAAGAATCTGTTGTATGGCTGGACAAGCTTTACTCACCTTATTCACCTTTTTGAAGCTACTTAACCTATTTAAAGCTAATAAGTAAGTCTGGGGGATTTGGACCCCTCTGGACCCCTCTGGTGGAAATGTGTAATTGCAAACAATGTACAGAACATTTCCTTTCCCCGACTGGATGCAAGTGATGATTGTGAGTGTGTCATAAGAGTAATCAGAGAGGACTCAGTCAAAACTTGGTAAACAAAGGGTCTTCTGAAGATGGAAGTGAATTGGCTACGACTGACTATAATATGAGGCATGCTGTACATTAATTTTTTAAGAATAAAATTGGTGTTATACAGCTTTCTTAGTTACTATGTAATCATAAACTCTGTTCAGCATTGAAATTTTTATTCCTTCAAATTATTTGATACGTACAGTATGCTGTCATTATATTAGAATCACTGTATAATGCATCTGCAACAACATTTATTTTATATTTATTTCTATTTTTATAATGTTGAATTTTGCATATTGGAAAAAAAAATAAAATGTGTCAAAATTTTGCAAAGGCCACATTTTTTTCGTCTCCAATTCCACCCACCAGTTAGGACCCCCCCTAATAACGCAATACTACCAGTGCTCGGAGGGTGAAGGCCAGCACAGGCTTCCTCTGAGCCCTGTGAAGCCACCATTTCTTTTCAAAATGCTGCTTACGCAACACCACTGGACAGCCGAACGCGCTCGGAGGAAAACGGCAACCGCCAGATATGTTACATCAGCTAACAGACGCCTGCGCTGACTAGCATCACAGTAAGTGATGGAGGAGAGGCGGGGCCATCCTACCCACCCAGAGATGGCTGTAGCATCACCAGGGATCAAAGTCGCGATCTCCTGATGACAGAGCCAATGCTTAGACAGCTGCATTTTATGTTTCCAATATGTTGAAATTAAGCAAATAAACAGTAACTGCGCAGCGTGCAGAGGTGTGTTCATTTATCTTCACTTAGAAAATCAACAAAACATGTCATCTGACCAGGTATGCCCAAACTCCGACTGTATAACAAAAGGTAAATTGCCCATGTTTCTCCAAGCTCATTAGAGTCACATACTGTATTTGATTCCATGAGAAGGAAAGAGAAAGACAGTGAGAGAGCGAAAGAAAGAATGACCACGATTCATTAATCTCACGTGTGTCAACTTTGGCCAGGCACTGAGGGCAAAGCCACAACACAGTGTTTTCGGAAACTAGAATGAACTGAGTGCAGCAGAAAATGAACAGAAACGAGTCAGATGAGATTCTGTCCATTCCTCTACAGCAGAGGCACTCAGGGGTGAATGACCACCATACCATAGGCACACTAATAACACACCGCAGAAAAAGCCCTTTTATTATCAACAGCGTGGATGTATGAGAGAGAGAGAGAGGAAAAAGGAAAGAGACACAGAGGGGAAAAGGAAAAAAGAGCGAATGTAATAATGCTGAAACAGTAAGAGGTTTGAAGCGGGGTGTTTTTGGCAGCGGAGGGTGTTTGCCGTCGATGGCCTGTGAAACCGGCCGCTGGAATCAGAGAGAGAGCGATCGCGCCTCCGGCCTCCGGCACTTTCACACCCTTGCCGGCCAAAACTCACACAGTGAGCGGCCGAACTGGACATTAATAACACGCTGCTTTTTCAGGCCTGCTCTGCTTTTCTCGCCATGAAGGCCATATTTCACTCCCTCGAGCGGCCGCTGCTGGCTCTGCCACGCCGGACTGTGTGGCGTTAAGCATGACTGCTCCTTGCTCTTCTAGCGTGTCTCCTCGATTTAATACAGAGCACTGAGAGAGAGAGAGAGAGAGAGAGAGAGAGAGAGAGCACGAGTGAGAGAGAGAGAGCACGAGTGAGAGAGAGAGAGAGAGAGAGAGAGAGAGAGAGAGAGAGAGCACGAGTGAGAGAGTGAGAGAGAGAGGGGGAGAGAGAGAGAGACAGAGAGAGAGAGAGAGAGAGAGAGAGAGAGAGAGAGAGAGAGAGAGAGAGAGCACGAGTGAGAGTGAGAGGGGGAGTGAGAGAGAGAGGGGGAGAGAGAGAGAGAGAGAGAGAGATAGAGCACGAGTGAGAGAGGGGGAGAGAGAGAGAGAGAGAGAAAGAAAAAAGAAAGAAAAGAAGAGAGTAAGAGAGAAAGACTGAGAAAAATAACAGAAATTGGAAAGAAAGAAAGATGGAAGGGAAAGAAAGATGGAGGGGAAGAGTAAAAGACAGAGGAAGAGCAAGAGAGCAAGGGAAAAAGTGAGAAAGTGAGCGAGAGCACAAGAGATAGAAAAGAGAGAGAGACAGAGAGAAAGGAAGAGAGAGTGGAAAGAAAAAGAAAAACAAAAACAAAAAAGAAAGAAAGAAGGGGAGAGAGAGCAAGAGGAAAAGAATGAGAAAAATAACAGAAACAGAGGGGATAGAAAAAAGTAAGAAGGGAAGAGCAAAAGACAGAGAGAGCAAGAAAACAAGGGAAAAAGTGAGCGAGAGCACAAGAGACAGAAAAAAGAGAGAAAGAGAAAGAAAGAAAAAGCAAGAGAGAAACAATGAGAAAAATGACAGAGACAGAGTGGAAGACAGAGAGGGAGAGAGAGAGAGCGAGAGAGAGGGGAAAAAAGTGAGAAAGTGAGCAAGAACACAAGGGACTGGAAAGACAGCGTGAGAGAGGGAGAGGGAGAGAGAGAGGCAGAGAGAGGGAAAAAGAAACAGTGAGAAAGAGAGAGAGAGACAGAGAGAGATTGACAGAGAGCAAGAGAGCGAGGGAAAAAAGTGAGAAAGTGAGCAAGAGCACAAGGGACTGGAAAGACAGCGTGAGAGAGGGGGGGAGTGAGAAAGCGAGTGTGTGTGAGAGAAAGAGAGAGAGAGAGAGAGAGAGAGAGAGAGAGAGAGAGAGAGAGAGAGAGAGAGAGAGAGAGAGTCTGCGTGATCGAGATTCAGGGTTAAAGAGTATGTTTTGGACTTGGGGCGTGTGAAAGGTGGGTGACTGTGTGTGTAAGGAGGGTGGGATTCAGTCTGTGTGTAAATGTGCTGAATGTAGATGTGATGGTGAGACTTTTAAAAGGGAGACACTGAATCCCTGTCTCCCTCTCCCCGTCTCCCTCTCCCCGTCTCCCTCTCCATAGACGGCTGACAAACTCAATTTCCGGGCTGAAGCTGCGGCGGTGCTGTTCAGGGAAGAGAGGAACGGGAGGCCCAAACCTCCGAGCATGAGGGTATGTGAAGGCGGGGGGAGAAAGAGCCGGACCGCTGGATTGCCGGCCAGACCACGGATACATAAGACAATGCTAATAATCTCCAGGGTTAGAACTCATTCATATTCATCAGGCAGAGCTGGCAGGCGTTAGAGCCGATGGAGTGACCCACAGACTGCCAATCCCCAGCGGAGTCGGCCTGCTGTGAACGGCCCCAGCTTCATATTCCAGGCTGTATAATATGCCTGGATACACAGAACCAGTGATGTGGAATCGGGCCTCATTCGTGAGGGACGGCAGCCAACATAAGGTGTGAGAGAAACATGAAGTTTGGACTCAAATAGGGATTTAATGTGTGTTTGGTAAATGGATAAACGACCTAAGTGCACTAGTTGATCACAACCCCAACCCAATCATGAGCAACGACTGGGGCTGGGCAATAAGACGATATTACCGTTATCACGATACATTTTCCGAGTAGATAACGAGAATCATCACCACCTCGAAGACAATGAAGAACTTGTAGACATACAGACAACTTTACTTGAACTGCATAGTAACACCTGATTAGATGCATCATGCCTTTATCTCACTTTATTAATGGAAAAAAATTATTGTGCTCAGTCTTTTTAAAACATGGCACCACTGTCCTCCTGTTTGTTTTGTTCTAACTTCATTCCAACAAAATATCGTGATATGTATTGTGCATTGGGAAACTGGCTTTATGTATCATGACTTCTGTTTTGAAACCAGCAGGCTTAAAGGAGAATTTCACCATTTTTTCAAAATCCATATAAGATGAGATGAGATAAGATAGGATAAGATGAGATGAGATAAGATGAGATAAGATAGGATAAGACGAGATGAGAAGATAGGAAAACTGGCTTGATGTATCATAACTTCTGTTTTGAAATCAGCGGCCTTTAAGGGGAATTTCACCAATTTTTCAAAATCCATGTGAAACCAGATGAGACGAGACGATCCTTTATTAGTCCCAACTTAGTGCTACAGCAGCAAAGGGAGAGCAAGGGGTTACTTACGACATTACTTATTATTGTATACACTAATATATATATATATATATATATATATATATATATACACACACACACACACACACACACACACACACTAAAAAATATCAAATAAAAAATATAAACTCTCTCTTTCACAAAACTCAACAATATAAATAGTAATAAATAGTATAAATAGTAAAAAAAATTGTTACACTATAGACATTTTATACGTATTGCACAAGGAGTACTGATTGTATTGCACACAGGAAACAGTGATGAATTCACAGTTTGTGTACTTTAGGTGTGTGAGGTCTAATAATTCAATCGTTCAAATGTAAATAGTCTTTCAAGATGAACAAATTTTCAGCCATCTGGCAGCACATTCATAATTCACATAAACTTTCAGTGAGGGAGCTTTTAGAGGTGGACGTCTGGTTCCTATCACTACCAGTGTTAACAATTCTGATTCAGTGAGCTTCTCTAGAACAGCACATTTCCTATCAAACCACTGAATAATTTTACATTGTCACAATTTAATTATGCAGAAATTTTGAAAAATTGATTTCCCCTTTAAAAAAAAGCAGCTGAATCTCTTTTAAAGGGTCTGCTGAATGAATCTGATATACCTTGGAAAGTATGAATCCTTTTAATTAAGAATCATATTAGAGCTGACATGTTTGCTTTGTTTTGGCTGCTAAACACTTAACTAACCGGCTAACGCCATTTGATATGGAAGATCATTTGCGGGACAGGCTCTCTGGGTGGTCCAAAACGTTAGGTGGAAATTTCTGCTGAGAGACAAGCAATAGGAGCCATCGGAACAAACCAGATACTACTATTCATCTCCAGGGTAGGTGTTTGGTGCTGCGACTATGGATGGCCTGGCTGAACCGTGCAGCACCGCAGACCAGGGGGATTAAATGGAGCGGCTGGGGAGAGGCCACAGAAAAGGTGAAAGGGGTTCAAGTTCAAGTAATAAATGCTCAAAGCTCACTTTGAGGTCGGGAAAATACCAAAAAGCAAGTGTACATCCAAAGGGCTGTGCTGGGAATATCCCTACACAGGACCGGCTGCTCAAACAAACACACAAAGACAGGCAAAAAGCACTGAGACACAGCTGATGAGAAGTGACAAGGGGATTGACCCTTGGCTCTGCCACTGTGCTGTGAGTTCAAGCGTGGTGTGAAGCTGACTGAGTCCTAACATGGGGACGTGTGACAGAGTAATCTCTGCTGTTGTCGCACACATTCACAGACACGCACACAAACACAAACACAGCCTCTCTGATGTATGAACTGACTTGACAGGCTATGATTTAAATCACTGATTTATGTTTTAAAACAGGAAATTAAAATTTTATGAACGCATTTCTAAAGAGGGAAAACAGAAGCAGTACTTTCTCTGTAACCATATGATGTGGTATGAACTATATGAGCCATTCTACAAAATTAGTTCAAACCACGATTCTACAGTTTAAAAAACAATTAAGTATTCAGACCTTAGATATTTACAAGGGTTATGTTATTATTTATTTAAACCAAAGGCATTAATTGAGATAGTAATAAATTAAACACAAACAAAACCATCTTCTATAGGGTACTTTCTACTGGGTGTTGTCTGTCTCAAACCCTAGCCCCTATTTTGTGTGTAAAAATATAAATAATACTTACTTTTTCCCCATTTTTTAAAAAGATTTTTGTGATTTATTATTAAGATAAAAGATGGATTTACCATGAGTTTAATTTTTAAATGTAAAAAAAAAAACTGTCCGATGTTTTCATGTCAATACCGAAACACAAAGAGTTTTAGTCTGTAGGCGGAGCCTTATTTTAGCCATGCCTCTGTATTTTAGAGCAGGAAGTGAGACTGCATCCCTTTTCCTCACAGTCCCACTGTTTTAAAGTAAATTTGCCCCAAAGTCTGAAAATCAGTGTGGATCATTAAGAAATGTCACCACTGAAATAAAGATTTTCTGCAATTGAGTAAACTCTTTATGTGCTTTGATGAAAAATATTAGATTTTATGTTTGTTTAAAGCTTTGCGTTTTTGAGTTCTGCTGAAAATGAGCTAAAATTATCACGACCGAAACATTTGGTAAATTTCAGAGGCGTTATTTTTGTATTGTTAGTGACAAAATGAAACTCTGAATCAATTGTTTTAATAAAATAAATATAATTAAGGTATAGGGCCATTCAAAGCAAAAGGATTTTAGTCTAAGTCCAACTCGGCTAAAAGTCCAAACTTCCGAAATAATTCAGTAGCACGATCCATACACAAAGAAGGAATCACTCCGAATGTAGGCTGCATTTCTAGGCTGTATATGAAGGGTCCTTCAGTTTGGAACGGCCTTCTATGACGTAGCGGCCGAAAAATGCAGCCCAGGCTTTGGAACGCAGCTCATATGTTAGATCTATGGAAGAATTTGATGAATTTATTCTAGAATATACTTATTTCAAATCATATATATGAATATAAATATTCCCAGACACAAAATTAGAACTTTAAACACTTCTGATAAAATTGCACCCCAGTAAAAGAAGCCCCATGTCTTTATCTCTTACATGCACTTAAGTATCAAAAGCAAATGTGCTGTGAAGTATTAAGAGTTACTACATTACTTTCATGAACAGTTTCCACTCAGAAGAGCTGTGTAATTTCAAACATGGAAAACACGGGGTTAGCTGTTTTATTTGCAGCTGCAGAGCTCTCCTTAAAACAAATTGCACTTCTGTGCTTTAGTACAAGCAGAAATATACAGGATGATACATGGAGCTCTCAACCAAGCCTCTGCCTTATAAGATCCACTACTTAGGAAAGATGCATAACACTGTTATAAAAGGAACAAAGGTCTGTCACTTTAGTTTAAGGCCCTTTATATCTTTGTGACAACATTTACATTATAAGACATTTCGTGTTGTGATTACTGGTATAAGCGGTTTATACATATTCAAGCACTGCTTTATAAATATGTTATTCAAGGCTTATGCATGTGTTATGAAGACCCTATGTAGGTAGTCTTCAAATAAAGTGTTACCAAATATTTTATATCAGCACAGTGACTACTGACTCACTGCACAAAGCTAAAGACTTTAGGCTGATGCCTTGTCTGATGCTCTTGTGCCAAGATTTTCATCTAAACTGAAAAGTAGAGAGCTATATGTTCTATACAGAGAGTGCACAGCATGAATAAGAGCACTTATGGCTCAGGCCACTACAGTATAATCACAAGAACACAGCCTCAGCAATTATTTCTAAGAGATGAGGCTCAAAAACCCTTAAACCCTGTCACCCTAGAGGAAACACAAAGATGCCCTTAAGCGTTCAGGAGGGTATGTGTTTGTGTAAGAGGGTAATACCCACCTTCTCGGCCAGAGCTTCCTCCAGCGTAGTGAGAGCAGTGTCAGTGTTGGAGGTGTCAGCCTGCAGGGATTTGACCCGCTCCTTCAGACTGCTCATCTGCTTCTCCTTATCTTTCAACTGTTCCTGCAGGTTCTCAATCTGCAGAGAGAGAGAGACAGAGAGAGAGAGAGAGAGAATGAGAAAGAGGAAGAATACAACTCAGCATCCTATTGACATGGTACATAACAAAGCAGTCTAGCAGGTGCACATACACATTTGGAGGGAAAAAAAAAGATGAGAAGCCATTGAGATGATCTGGGTCCGGCTGCACCAGCTCTGTGTAAGATCACAGGCTAGTTGTGACACAAGCGTTTACTAAGTTCAGGTTTATGCATTACTAAATCAAAATGAGTTGCACCACACAAACTAGTTTCAACGTTGAGGTTAAAGGGTTACTTAATATTTACACCCCCCCCCTCAGCAGGTGTAAGTTTTAGGGAAACCATCAGAAACTATGTACTGATGATGTACTGTAAACTCAGGACATGAAGATAAACACCCACAGCTCCAGCTCAGTGAGACCCGGTTAGCCAGAAACAGACTTTTTTTAAATCTCCATATTAGGTTGTCTCAGGGAAATATTAAAGAATAAACAGCGGCTGTAGTTTTAGTTTAACCTGTACACATTACATACACATTAGTTAGTTGTTACTAGTTAAGACACGACTTACAGATTTGTGGTGTGACCAAATTTAGTAAAAAGATAGTTTGAAACTAACTAGTATAACTAAGGACTTAGTAAAGACTTCACGACCAATCTTAAGTATAAACTTACGCAAACCTGGTGCGACTCAGCCCTGGTCTTCAGAATTACAATAAATAAATACACCTTCATTTAACAAATAAAGGCAGCCTTTATTATACAGCCAGAAGCTGTTTAGGAGCTGACAGGAAAAGTAACCTCTGATTAATTACCTCTTAAAAAGAAACAAACTAACATTATTTTCAAGTGTGGGTTTGCCCAGCATTGTTCCAACACAGTTTTAACCATAAATGGTCTTAAACGCTGGAGTTAATGTGTAACTGCTAATTCACCCTTTAACCCTGAAGGTTGGTGCGCAGACTGCTGGTCACCATAGCAACGCAGACAACTACCTTGCCTAGCAAGTAGCTAAAGAGACGGCAAAAAGAAAAATTTAAGACTAACATCAATAATGTGGAGACTAATGGACCTATTTGCATTTATAATCACTCCAGCTGGTTTTCTGATAACAAACTGTCAAACACTAAAAAGTCACAAGGCTGAAGATAGTTTCTCATTCAAATTTTTCCGTTCCACCTTAACGGGAAAATTCGAACAAGAAGCTGGTGAATAAGAAGCTGACTTCAGCCCTGTAAAAGTCGAATGTTAAGAGTGATTTTAGAGGAAACAGTCCTACTTTGGGGACAATTTTCCTGCCAGAGATGCAAGAAAAGCGACTACAGCTGAGCTAAAGCTTAAAGCAGAGCAAAATAAGTCTGCATTTTCATTTATATTATATTTTTAGCCTACACTAGTATTATTGAGACAAATTTACAGCCAAGGTGGTAAAATGGACATAAAACACTGTGGCTCCGAAGGTGGTTTGATTTTTGTTGAAAGGACAAAATGGCTCTTCTTAACATTTGGGTGGCGACTCCTGTCCCAGACCATCTAGATGAGCACTTCTACTCAAAGAAGCTCTTTGAATTCAGGCTACCTATCACGATTTATTCAAGTAGAGAGCTGCATAATAACAAACTGCATAATGTCAACATCAATGGTGTTATATTATTTGCATTCAAGACCTAAAGAGTTAACTAAAACTACTACCCAACCTGATTTTATTCAAGCACCACTGATTTTTGCATTTCATAAAAAATTACCAAGCGCAGAGAAGAAAAAGAAAAACACCAAACAATCAATTTTCTGTTTTTACTCAAAATAAATAACGACCTCATTAGAGTCATATTCCGTGTTAATTTTCCTTCATAAAACTTTTCTTATCTGTGTCTGCGGCTGGTGTGAAGGCTGCATGAGGCAGGAGCTGATAAATGACAGGGGAGATGGGCATTTCGCAAACTCAATCCATTCATCATGCTGCGACAGCTCAATGAAAAGACTGACTGTTCCTGTCCCCCCATTTCACATTCAATTAAACACTGACGGATTTGATAAATAGTCGCAATTCTCCCCCCAATCACTTCAAAAAACAAACTGTTGTCAATACCCTCCCCAAAACGCTTCGGTAAATCGGGCACATTTCTGCTTGAGGCTGGAGGTAAAAGGTGATCAAGATCCAGAGAGCAGAAGAAACGACATGAATTGCGAACTGGAGGCACCTTCTCCCTCGTTCCCTACGAGAACGTAAAATTCCCTCAACTTTAGGCTGGTTGCCATGGCTACGGCACTGCAGAAAGCAAGGCTGTAACAGCGGAGGTTAAGTCGCTGAATGTGACTAAATTAACAGGGTAATGAAGAAAAACGACGGGCGCCGGGGATGAGCGATGTGTGAAAGACGTGTGGACTTAGGAAATGAGCATTAAAGAAGAGCAGCTTCCTCTCTGAGCTTCCCTGCATCCCTCACTCTGTTTATTTTCACATAAACCCTCCGCTCCTTCAGTCCAGGCCAGAGTAAGCTTGCTATTCTTAATGATTCAAAAGCCCTGTGCTCTTTTCAGTGCCTTCAAAAGGGCAAGAAGTAATGCCTGCAAACGCTGCCCTAGTCAAGTTTCCTAACCTGATCGCTGAGAGAGATAAAGTCGTGTCAACTTTTCAATTTAATTAAAAGGATGGATGTTTTGGCAAAAGGGTTCCAAAGGAAAACAAATGATGTTAGTGGGAAAAGTGAGAAGAAACTCGATAATAAATTTGTCCTGGTTTGAACAACTACAGTTGTTTCCCCGAGTAATAAAAACGATGGCGGAGTTTGTTGTTTTAAATAATTTCAGACATGTTTGGACAGATGTCTGGGGCTGAGTTGCTCTACTGGAGGTACTTCAGGCTGAAACAGTGACCGTTAGTAGGACACGGTGGATTTGTTTGCTGCTTTTTATGGTTGTGTTTTTATTCGGGACAGGCCACTGAGTCCCGTCCTGACGTAGAGCTGTTTTCTCCTCCAGAGTCACCACGGCGCTTCAAGGACACGCAGGACAGACACTAAGCTAAGACTATACTCATTTCAATGCAATGCACATGAAGAGCGAGAGAGCGAGAGAGAGAGAGAGCGAGAGAGAGAGAGCGCGAGAGAGAGAGAGAGAGACATGGAGAGATACAGAGAGATAAGCATGCAGAAAACATTTCCAGACTCTCATTAATCAACTCTGCACCTGACAGCTGAACTGACAGCTCCACCTGTCTGTCACAGCACACACCACTCAGCTGAGTGCCTCTCTAAACACACACACACACACACACACACACACACACACACACACACACACACACACACACACATTCATGTCTGAATCTATTCACACACTTGACATTCACGGAAAGTGTTTGCCTTTGATGGTGACTGTAGTTGTTCTGAAGGTCTAACAGCCTGATTAAGGTTCTCATCTCAGACCCTCAAAAGTTTGTCAAAAGTTTGGGCGCCCTGGTCAAATTACGTTTTGTTGATTTTCTATATACCGTTACTAAAATAATACAGTATTTAGGCTACAGTACATGCTACAAAATCCAATGTCCTTGACCATAGAGAACAACCGGTCATTCAAAGCAGTGAATTGCATTATTTCGCACTTTGGCACTTTTGTTTGTGATCAAAACTGTGGCTACAGGGATTTTCTGCATATTGATGATGTTGGAACAAAACCTTTTCTCTCAATTTTTGACGTTTTTCAGTTTTTCACATAATGTGAAAATGCCATATATATTGTATGTTAATTTCATGATGAATGGACTAAAATAAACGGCCCAAAATTACTTGGAAAAAAGTCTGGTTCCACTGACTTACATTAAAAGTAAAGTAGGTTTTTCCTTCTCCTGTAAAGTTACCATTTTGGAGATACGAGGATTTGTTCCGACAGCAGTGATATAAATCTGACATGGAAAAGTAAATCTGTACTGGAAGAATACTGAATAACAGAAACAGAAGTGTTTGAACACTTGTTACCCCTCAAAGTGTATCACTAAAACTGGAAAAACCCATATAAAAATGTTTACTTAGATTTAAGTGGGCTTACTGGAGCTTTTCCCCCTATAATGGCATAATTCTATATGATCAGAATAGCAAAACAAAAGTAATAACGCTCAACATCTATGGCTTCACCTTATTCATTTCAGCATCTCCAATAACCCTAGGCAGCCGGCCACTAACGACAAAACACACTGATGATTATTTCACCCAGTCCATATTATTCACGTACAGAGTCATATGATAACTGTAATTTTATTTTAGGTCAATAATCACAGCAATGAGAAACAGCCACGCTTCCAAATTCAGCTAATGGCAGTAATGTGCATTCATCTCCTGCCCTGCTGTAAGAAGAGAGGTGAGGTATTACACAGATGATGATTACATTCAAATGGGCTGTGGGGAAGACGGGAAAAGGGCATAGACTGAGCGAGCAAGAGAAATAGAGAGAGAGAGAGATTGTGTTTGTCAGGCTATGGGGGCAGAATAAGCAGGATTGGATGACAGTAATTGCATATGAACAAATGAACAAGATGCGCACAGAACTGTAGACACACACACACACACACACACACACACACACACACACACACACGCCGTACACCCACATACTCAGGTCTGAGCCACAGTCTCGGGTTTCATCCACTCATCTGTGTGTATGAGAGGAAAAAAGACGAGGGGAGACAAAAAGAGACGCTTTCACTCAAACACAGAGAGACTTAGAGGAATGTGTGACTGAGTGCAAAGAGAGAGAGAGAGAGAGAGAGAGAGAGAAAGAGAAAAAAGAGACAGAGAAGGAGATAGAGAAAAAGACAGAGAGAGAGGGAGAGAGGGAGAATTAGAGAGACAAGGAGGGAAGGAGAGAAAGAAAAGTAAAAGCGAGAGAGAAAGAAAAAGAGAGACGAAGTGAGAGAGAGAGGGAGAGGGAGAATAAGAGAGGGAGAGAGAGAAGGAGAGAGAAAAAGAGACGAAGCGAGCGAGAGAGTGAGAGAGAGAGAGAGA